ATTAACTTCAATTTATCTTAAATTTGTTGAAAACCATGAGACCTCAAGTTTCTTTAATAAGAGTTTTGGTAGAACCTTTATATTTGATTACAACAAAATGAAAAATGGGTTTTTCATCACATTAATAAAGAAAAAAGGTTACCATTAAAAATTAAATCATCAAAAAGATTACTTCTTGATTTTGACATATTTAAACAATTTCAACCACAAACTAAATTACCCGTTTCATTATTGTTAAATAATAACATCCATGTTGATAAACGAAATGAAAGTTCGTATTGTAAGGATATAAATAAACAACAAATTGTCCAACCACAAAGTTTAGAAACGATATCTACACATACACAAGAAAAAACTATATTTTCAATTCAAAAAATGCACGAAATTTTACAAATTTCACCCACATTAAATCAAATTACCACGGAATTACCAATAAGTGACGAATCATTCATTTTAATTAATTTACAAAAAAACTCAACAACAAGAAAAACGAATAAAACTTTTGGAAGAATGTCTTGAGTCAACAAAAACATTAAATGTTGCTTTTGAAAAACAATTATATATGTCTGAAATTCTTTCAACACAACAAACTCAAAAAGAAATAAACCATATAATTTCAGACGTTTGTATAACAAAAGAAATTATACAACCAGAACTTACACGAACGAATGATACATCAATGTTATATGAATCGAATGATTCCCAAACAACGAGTGATACAGAATATTCAACATCTTCAATTAATGATTTTCAAACACAAAGTGATCCATGTGAAATAGCTTCTATCGATTCAAGAGTTTCTAACAACAACTTTAATGATAATTCGAATTCTGATAATTTTTCTACTTTATCGGATTTTTGGGATGATAAAAATGAAATAAATAAACATAAAAAACAAAAAACAAAAAATGACACAAAAACCAATAATTGTGAAACACGAGAACAAATAATTGCTGCAATTTTAAAATTCAAAAATGGATATTTTGTTGATTTAAAAAGGGAAGACATTAAAAAATGGGACAAAGAAGACGTGTTTTTCAATTTTAGAATATTTGTCAAATATGATGATCTTTTTTCTTTTGATCGATTTTTTGAATTAACCAATTATCTTATCAAGGAAAAAGAAGAAGAAGTAAAAGATAAATTATTATATTCTGTCCGAAAAAAATAATTCACTCAAAATACAAAACCTTTATAAAGGAACACTGAACACCTTTAAAAATAGACTATTATCTTTTTTAATTAATGATTTTATGATCGAATCTAAATTTAGTGGAACACAAATGAATGGAATGTGCCAATGTCTTCGAATGGCAATTCGTATGTACACTTTTTCACATGACACGATTATTCATAACGTAGGATGCAGTCCAAAAGTGGTAAGGGGTAAAATGTATTCTCAAAATAAAAAAATGATGAAACAAATATTAGAAGAAATAAAAACAGCAAAATCAATAACGGTTGCTCTTGATTCTTCAACTAAAAAAGGAGTTGAAATATTTTCTGTTTTTTGAGGTATTTTTACAACGGACAAGTAAACTGTTTTCTTGTAATAATTAAACAATACAATCACAAAACAAACGGAATTTCAATAGCAAATTGGGTTTTCCGCCATTTGAAAAAAATGGGAATTCCTCTTCAAAATATCTGTCAGTGTGCTACCGATGGTGGTAAAAATTTAACTTCAATAAATAATGGATTTGTTGCACACTTTTTAAACAAATTGAGGGAAGAACAAATGTGTTTGGGGGAAGTCGACAAACATTTTAAATTTACTTGGTGTTTTGCCCACAGAACAACACTAACGGGAACATGTGTCAATAAAGATAATGACGCATTATTAGTTACATTATTTGTAAAGTGGTTTTGTTCAGGTAGAACACTCAAAAAATTTTACAAAGAAAATAAACAAAATGAAAAAAATGAAAAAATGAAAAAATGAAAAAATGAAAAAATGAAAAAATGAAAAAATGAAAAAATGAAAAAATGAAAAAATGAAAAAATGAAAACAGTGTGTGAAACGAGGTGGCTTTATCTTTCCGATAATTTGTGTGAAATTGAATCTGAATATAAAGAAATTGAAAGGTTTAGTGAAAGTATTGAAAACAGATTAAACATGAAGCATTTTTTTTCAAAAAGTTATTAAAATATAAAAAACAATTTCCAACACAAAAAGATATCAATATAGCAATTGATCATTTCCATTTGGGAAATGAAGTTGTCAAACAAACTATTTGTGTTATGAGAGGAATTTTAGGTTTGTTGAGACAATTTTCAGATTCTTTGCAAGAACAAAAAAGTCTGATTTTTGTACAATGGAAAAGAATTCAAATGTTTAAAGTTTTTTTAAAAAGTGTTTTGCAAAAAGTTGTTGAGCCGGACTATGAATACTCTGATTTTGAATGTTTAAAAGGTAAGACAAATGTTGATAAAAAATACCTTAAAAAACTATTGGAAATGATCATTGATGATTTTAATCTACGCTTTAAAACAGTTTCCAGGTCTGAAGACATGATAGAGATTATGAAAAATAAGAACAAAAAGTTGGAAAAAGAAAAGGTGATAATTGATGACAACGAAAGTGATAAAAATGACAACGAAAAAATAAATGAAATAACAGAAAAAACAACAAAAAAAAACTTCGATGGAAAAAGAGACAGAAAAACAAAGAAAATATAAAATAAATGAGAAGAAATTGAAAGAAAAAGAAGTTGATTTGGAAGGTTATATGTATATGTTTAACCTCCCTCAATTTATTGTTGACAAATGGAATATTGAAATACCAAAAGAGTTTACTTATTTAAATAAAGAAGTAGCTATAATCACAAATATATTATGTAATACCAATATATTAATTGATAAGAAACTAAACAATGTTGTACCAGTTTCTAACTATCACAAGAACCTGAGAGAAAAAACTGGTTATCATCATAAACTTACATTATTGGACATTTATCAGATTCTCCCATCAAGTTTGCGTCTTATTGTTGAGGATTTGGTAACAATGTTTCCAACAACTGTTGTTGTTGAAAGGAGTTTTTCGCAAATACGAACAAATACACACCAAAACATGGATTTATGTGGAGTGTTTTCCAGAATTTTCTATTCAAGTGTAAACCACCAGATCATTATAAGTCTACCCCAACTTTGAAAAATTCTTTTTAAAAAGTGTAATAAATAACAATTTGATTACATTTTCGCACTTTTCACATTTTTTTTATATGTCATGTTAAAAAACGTATTGATTTTGATACTTTATTTGAATTTTTGTAAATGGGGCTAGAAGAAAAATAAAAACTATTTTGTCATTAATTCGAACAACGACGTGTTAAACTATTTTAATATTAATGATGAGCAAATTGTGGTTTAAATTTCAAAATAATATTTAAATGTATGAATGTTATGTGAATTAATTACCAAATGATTTATTTTTTTTCTTTTTTGTGATTTAAATCAAATTAATAAAAATAGAACATTTTATGAATAGTTTAAAACTGAAGTGTTTTTTGAAACAATTCGTATTTTTAATTTTTAATATATTTATAAATAGTTGAACTGTTTG